AGAATTAACTGTAGCTAACTAAAATGTGCACTATATGATGCATGCTACATATGGATCATCCCACCTCTAATACAAATTCTTTCCCTTTCACCGCCATGGGTCTGTAAGGCTAAGGAAAGTGATTAATTCAGCTCAGGTAGAGGAAAATTTAAAACTTTAATATCATATGATTAATACAAGTCCATACTAACTTTAGTTAAAACACTGTAGAATGATACATGTCTTCTAAACAACAACAGCATTATTCATAAATTAAACAATGTTTATACGGAGAAAAAATGTATTAAATATATTAATTTTTTATCTAAAGAGTAACAAACATTTTCCACTTAAATAAAGTATGTGATTTTTGTGGGAGATATAAATTATAAGGGAGATTCATTACAAATATATTACAGGGCTATTACCAGAGATCAAGGTCCAAAAGAAAAATCTGTTGCACCACTGTTCACATATATTATTGGGGACATTCTTAAGACAATCTGTAATTTGAAGCAAGCATTTAAGGGAAGCGAATTACAGTCAGACACTGGTGTGCAGAAAGCTATTCAAAATATATTTTATCAGCAGGTTATGAAAAAATCACTCATCCTATAGTATCTCGGTGGACTGTCATTCTCAGTACTTGTGGAGACTGAGCAACCCGAACAAATTTGCATTTAATAATTACCCTCAGGAGAGTACTGAACATCTAATTTGTTGCATACCAATAATCATTCCTAAAAGAAGTATTCTGGCATAAATTTGAGATGCATGTATGGAATAGTAACTAATATCTCAAAAAGAAACAAGCTGTCAATTTACATACTGATAAAAACCATATTCTTGATCTCAGTATGACTTTCTGAGCAATATTGCACTCTTCATGATCCTGATATACAGGTGCTAACCATAATATAACAGTATCGATTTTATTGTGCACCAATAATACATGCTATAGAAGCAACAAGATGATGAAGTTGTTGATAAATGATTCTGATTACACTCTTGCTTTAAACTAGTTACTCTTTTCTTTTTGTCACAAGGAAAAAATTGCTTTTGTGTACATCATGAAAAAATGTGTGTGTGTGTGTGTGTGTGTGTGTGAAGCTTGGTATGATGATAATAAAAATTTATGAAATGCTTAAATATTCATTTGGAGAAGACAATTTCAGTCACAATAGAAAGTTCCAGCAACCCTTTTAATTTAAAGACTTGGTAAAAGTAACCAGACTCTCCATCATAATTACACATCAAGGAAACAAAATTCATATTCATGACAGAATTTGTAAAAGTAGATTGACAGCCATAACGGTTTTTAATTTGGATGCTACGATACATCTAACAGATGATGTGAATTACTGGGTTTTGGACTTTGGTCTATCATCCCATATTCTAAAAACTAGAGAACACAACAGATGGCACAGTGTGTCTATATCATTCCTTGTGAATGTGGCAGAAGCTACACTGGAGAAACAGGCAGACCTCTAGCCATTTGGCTCCATCTCAAAGATGGTCTTCTAGAAAAACCAAAATTAGCCCAATATGCCTGTTAGGAGGACCACGGAGTAGAGACTGGGATGAAGCTAGGATTTTGGAAATTAAAATTAACAGCAGGCGTAGGAAATACAGGAATCAGCCCATATAGCATGCTTCACCAATTTGATGAGCCAACCCAGTTTGGACATTTCTGCTGCCTGTATCCCTCTTATCAGCAATGAGGTTGTGAACATGTAGAGAAGATCAGTACGATGTGACAGATTCTTCATGGGTTTCTACTAGATTTTAGCCTCAGGTTTTCAGTTTTTACTCCACAAATCGTGCTAAAAATAGGCACAAAAGGGTTTCACAAAGTTCTTCATTTAATCCTATGCATTGGGTTTACTGGATCTGGTTTGTTGGCTAAGTCTGTTCCATAATGTTTCGCCTCCATTTCTATCTCAGGTTCATGTCTGTGTATGGTGCATCACGAATTTTATTGTAAATTTTTCCTATTACCTCTCACTGGCAAAGCCTAGCCTCAGGCATTTATATAGCTGTAGTTATACTGACATTGGTTGCCCAGTGATTGAGGTTAGCTCTTTCAAACGGATCTAACAGAGTAGGTGTGTTCCCCTCTCACCCGAGGATGTAAAGTGATCCAGTTTCTGAAATGCTGTATTCTCTGGTGTTTTTAGAATAATGTATGATGGATAAGTCCAAAAACCCAGTAATTCTGAGTGTTATACACCATCACTAGAACCCTTTAGAATCTACTAAGAGATAGTGTTTAAAATAAAATGACCTGAAAAATTAAAGTTAGTCCATTTATAGTAAACTCCCATATATCTTGTATACAAGAATTTGGAATTCACATCCAATCAGCAAAAATTTCAAATAACGATTTACTGCTTTTATAAAGTTATTAAAAAACAAATATGCAACGTGCATTTATCCACGCAGTATTTCTCCCAGATGCCATTAGCAGTACTGCCCATTATTCTCCCTCATGCAAGTGTCCAATATAATAGAAGCTATTTGAATTTGTTACTCCTCTCGGCTGCCATTAGTAGTGCCGTCCATTATTCTCCCTCATGCAGATGTCCAATACAGTTGAAGCTACCTGAATTCATCATCACATTACAGTACATATATCCAAAATATTTTGCCCATTATTCCACTTTGTCTCATAGTTAGATTTCCACGCCTGAACTAAGTGAAAATATAATTTTTTGACTTTGTATTAGGTTTCTGTAAGAGCTTTCTCATGCAAGTGGCAGATTCATACACCCAGCATAACTCATACCCCATACACACCAGAGTCCTGGGAGTTTACTGTATGCTGTATCACATAAATACATCAGCTTACTGTTCAGATCTTTCGTCAAGGGAATTATTAACCAAGCACAACACTCCACTGGTTCCGACCCACCTCATTCACTAGATTTAGCACATAGGTACTTTCTTCTTTTCCCCAGACTACAAGTACAAAGAGGAAAGAGATTTTGTGAATTGCCACAAATGATACAGAGTCTCACATGAGAAATAAATTACATCACGAAAGAAGTGTGTCAGTTGACTGCAATAGGACCACTGGAATCAATAAATTCAGTTCAGAGGAAACTAATTTGAATGGGATATACTTAAGCGCAAAGGACAATTAAAATTACTTGTAGATGCACAACGATCTTACATATATACATACATAATTCATAAATTCACTGATCCATTGTCCGAATTGGACCCGATACTGAACTTTTCAAAATAAGACCTGATTGCAGAAGTACAATCGTGTTAACAGCAAACAACCACACACAACCAAAAGCACCAAATAACCATAATTTACATTGTCATTCATAAACAAAATTGCAAGGAATATAGTTATTAAATGTTATACATGCTTAGCAGAAATATATTCATCTATTGAATAAAAAGCATTTGTTGTGAGGAAACATTTCAGTATGTGTCTAAAAATCTTCACATTATCACTCATCCTTTGTACATTTTGAGGAAGATTATTATAAACCATAATGGATGAATGTAGCATGCCTCTCTGGATTGAAGATAATCTCACTGATGACACATGTAGCTTTCCAAACTGTCTAGTGTTTATATGATGAATATTATTGTTGGTTTGAAAAAAATTGCAATTTCTAACAACAAACATCAAAATAGAATAGATATATAGGCTAGAATCCGTCAAAATACCCAACCTCTTAAAACCTTCTCTACATGAGTTTCCAGGACTCAATCTCAGCATAACCCTAATCGCTCTTTTTTGGGCAACAAATAAACTTTTTATAACTGGAGAAGAACACCAGAATATAATACTATATTCAAACTGAGACTGATAATAAGAAGAATAGACCATTCGAAGAGCTTGTTCACTGATAAGGGATTGTAACTTCCTGAGCATAAAACACGCTGTATTCAGTTTCTTTAATAATTTTTCAGATTGTTTTTTCGAATTAAGTTGACAGTCTAAATACATACCTAAGAAATTAACACTATCAACATCTTTAAGTCTAAAATTATTATATTGTAACGTGTCGGCAAACCAGAGGAGTAACTTCTAAATAGACCGTTACAGGGGAGACAACAATTGCTCCATTGTAATTCTAACAGGAGTCTCCATGGTTATAACGGAGGGTTCATTGCCTAACAGCGGGCAAGGTTATAGATAGCCCAGCTTCAGCGAGAAAAAGTGCATCTCGGAATAGCATTCGAAGAAGTCAGTCGCGGAACAGCCATCGGAGAAGAAGCTTCGGAAGATCCGTCTGGGTCCAGTATCGCCGGAATATTGTGAGCAGTGATTTTAACACTGCAAGTGTAAATGTTTGTAAAGAGTGTGTAAGGCGAGCGATAAGAATAAACTCGCTATATCCAAGAACGGCGTGAACTTATTGGTCGCGTTATACGCACAACACGTGACATTGGTGTCAGAAGTGGGATGAACTTAAACACGCCTTATGTTACTGCTACAAAATGGAAATGCAGCAGATAATGGAACTCCTGCTGGCCATGCGAGAAGAACGAAAAGCTGACGAGGCCAAGGCGGAAGCCAGACACAAGGAGCTGATGGCCGATTGGAAAGCCTGGGGGGAAGAAAAGAGAACTAGCCACGAGAAAATTGATCCCCACCCAGAAGCGATGCAGTCCGTACTGGAGCATCAAGAAGTCCCCGTAGAAGACGCCCCGAAAATACCGGTCGGAGAACCGAAGAAGCGG